GATAAAAAATGGCATTAAAGTGACCAAAAACGACATTAAAGTGACCAAAAGGGAATTAAAGTAATTTAAAAATTAAAAAAAAGTTTCTGAAATTCCTCAAAATCGCCTCTGTGGGATCCCCTTTGTCCTTCAAATTTTTTCCCCCCTCAAAAAAAAGAGAATTTAAAATTTGGAAATTCCCTTTTTTTTTTTTTATTTTTTACCTCAAAAAAACTTCGGGATTTTCTTTCTCCCTCACAACTTTTACCTCAAAAAAACGCTCAAAAATTCCCTTTTTCCCCACGATTTTCACCCAAAATTGTCCTTTTTTCCCTCAATTTTCACCAAAAAAAACCCAGAATTATTTTTTCCTTTAATTTTCACCCAAATTTTCCCTTTTCCCCTCAATTTTCACCTCAAAAAAAACCTCCAGGATTTTCTTTCTCCCTCACAATTTTTACCTCAAAAAAAGCTCAAAATTTTCCTTTTTCCCTCAATTTTCACCCCAAAAAAATCCAGAACTATTTTTTTCTTTAATTTTCACCCGAATTTTCCCTTTTCCCCTCAATTTTCACCTCAAAAAAACCTCCAGGATTTTCTTTCTCCCTCATAATTTTTACCTCAAAAAAACCGCTCCAAGATTCCCTTTTTCCCCACAATTTTCACCCCAAATTTTCCCTTTTTCCCTCAATTTTCACACAAAAAATCGTCGGGATTCCCTTTTCCCCACAATTTTCACTTTTCCCTCAATTTTCACCTCAAAAACCTCCAGGATTTTTTCTCCCTCACAATTTTTACCTCAAAAAAACCGCTCCAAGATTCCCTTTTTCCCCTCAATTTTCCCCCAAAAAAGCGTCGGGATTCCCTTTTCCTCATAATTTCCCCCAAAATTTTCCCTTTTTCTCACAATTTCCCCCCAAATTTTCCCTTTTCCCCCTCAAATTTCTCTTTTTTTCCCACATAAAAAGCCTTAAAAATAATCTTCTTTTTTTTTTCCCGCCAAAATAAACCGATCCCCCTCACCTCCATCCGCGAGGCGGCGCCATTTTCCCGCCACTCCCCCCTCAGGATCCCGCGCATGCGCACCGAGCTCGGACCGTACCAACCTGAGGGCGGAATGCGGGGGGGTGGAAAAAACCACGGGAAGGCCGGGGGAAAACGGGCGAATCCATTACGAATCGAACCCGGGGAGGAATCGGGGAGGCCCCGGGGCCGCTGGTAAGTGAAAATAAAAGATTTTTAGAGTAAAATTAAAAGGATTTAGGTTTAAAATTCAAAGATTTAAGGGCAAAATTGAGAGGTTTCGGGAGGGTAAATTGAAGGGGAAAGGAGAGTCCGGACGCCGGGGTTGTGTTTGGGACACGGGGTTAGGGAGAAGGGAGGGCGGAGAGAAGGAATGGAGGGGGAGTGAAGGGAAAAGGGCGTCCCGGAGCTGTTTTGGAGGGATTTTGAGGTAAAAAATTTCACTTCTGGAGCGATTTTCGGGGGGTTCTGGGGAGAAATTGGGGTCCCGGAGCGATTTTAGGGGGATTTTGAGGGGAAAAGGGGTTCCCGGAGCTGTTTTGAGGGATTTTGAGGTAAAAATTGCGGTCCGGGAGCGGATTTTGGGGAGTTTCTGAGGGCAAATTGGGGTCCCAGAGCGGTTTTGGAGGGATTTTGAGGTAAAAATTGCGGTCCCGGAGCGATTTTTGGGGAGTTTCTGAGAGGAAATTGGGGTCCCAGAGCGATTTTAGGAGGGTTCTCAGGGGAAATTGGAGTCCTGGAGCGATTTTAGGAGAATTTTGAGGTAAAAAAATGCGGTCCGGGAGCGATTTTGGGGAGTTTCTGAGGGGAAATTGGGGTCCGGGACCGATTTTTGAGGGAAAACTGAGGAGAAAAAGGAGTCCTGGAGCGATTTTGGGGGGATTTTGAGGTAAAAATTGGGGTCCGGGAGCGATTTTTGGGGTGGTTCTGAGGGGAAAAGGGGGTCCCGGCGCGGTTTTGGACGGATTTTGAGGTAAAAATTTGAGTTTTGGAGCGATTTTGTGGAGTTTCTGAGGGGAAATTGTGGTCCCGAAGGTGTTTTGGAGTTATTTTGGGGTAAAAAATTGAGTTTTGGAGCGATTTTGGGGAGTTTCTGAGGGGAAACTGGGGTCCCAGAGCGATTTTGGGGGAGATTTTGAGGTAAAAAATGGGGTCCGGGAGCGATTTTGGGGAGTTTCTGAGGGGAAATTGGGGTCCCAGAGCGATTTTTGAGGGAAAACTGAGGAGAAAAAGGAATCCTGGAGCTGTTTTAGGAGAATTTTGAGGTAAAAAATGGGGTCCGAGAGCGATTTTGGGGGAGTTTCTGAGGGGAAATTGGGGTCCCGGAGCGATTTTTGAGGGAAAACTGAGGAGAAAAAGGAGTCCTGGAGCGATTTTGGGGGGATTTTGAGGTAAAAATTGGGGTCCGGGAGCGATTTTTGGG